ATTCCCATCTTGTACATAACTATGATGCACCAATTTAAATAAATAAATAGAAGGAAGACCTGTAGATAGAGGAGGGAATGGGTTAGGGTAGAGGAGAGGGAAGGGGCTAGTACTGGGACTGAAATGCAGAAAACTGTGTCATGTGCATTTATGAATATGCCAAAATGAACTCCAATGTCATGCAAAACTGCAATGCACTAGAAATAAAAAAAGTAAGTTAAAATATGAGATCTTCCTTGCTGTAAAGTGTTCTTACATTTATTATCTGCTTCTCTTTTATTTTGAAGGACCTTGATTCCTCCCCCCATACTTTCGTTAAATAGTGTAATTCTTTGGTGAAAGTGCTATTTTCGTGTCGATTTTGCTTCTTTAATGTGGATATTTGCATAGTTTGAAAAAAATTAGAAAGCCATACAAACTATTTTGAAAAAAACTGTTTTTCAAAGACACAATGACATTTTTCATGACAACAGCAACTCCTAAGACTAAGCCAGGTGACGATCATAACATTCTAGGCCTGATGTGATTAGCACCAGGACCAGCACGTGTTAGACATGTTCTCTGCACCCAGTAGAGCAGCAGGCATGCTGCTACCAGGACCAGGGGCCTCTACCAGAGGCCACTCACACATCTAGGCTAGGCAGGCCTGTACCTGTTCTTGCCCCTACATCATCCTTCGCCCAGAGCCCTGGATTCTGCTTTAGCATTGCCTCAGGGACACGTTTTCTCAATGTCAGAGGCTGCTCCCATGCACCCTGATGCCAGAGAAGTGGACTTTGCCCTCTAGGCTCCTGGTTCGGGTTCCTCCCACGCAAGGTTTCCCCAGCCTTGTCCTGCTCCTGGTTCTTCTGACAGGTGCCTGTCCCCATCACTGCTGTTCACCCCAGATAGACAGCTTCAGCCATGCCACTATTCAGAACGGGGTTCCTAACTGCTGTCCCGATTGGCCTGGTCTGTGTTGGCAAGGCTTGTCCAGCTGAGCTGAGTAACGTTCTCCAGGATGGCAGGGCACTCTCCATTGGAGGAGGCCGACCCAGGAGGCTTATCCGTCCCTAGCCTCTGTTCTTCCTCTCCACCTGGAGAGACAGCTCAGAGTCTCACCTGTTCTTTTTTCTTTTTTTTTTTTTGGCAGGGGGAGGGTGTGGGTAACCAGGAATTGAACTCAGGGACACTCCACCACTGAGCCACACCCACAGCCTTATTTTGTATTTTATTTAGAGACAGGGTCTCACCGAGTTGCTTAATGCTTCGCTTTTCCTGAGGCTGGCTTTGAACTTGTGATCCTCCTGCCTCAGCCTCCTGAGCCTCTGGGATTACAGGCATGCGTCCGTCTTCTCTGTTCTTTATCTGGCTTCTGCACCCGCCAGTGCCAGTGTGGTTACTCCTCACCTTAGACAAGTGTGCAATCTGAGCAGCACAGTTTCACTCACAGCCAAGAATCAAACCCCTGCTTTCACAATAAAACAAAATGAACATTTTAAATGAGAAGTTCTGTAGTGTAATATTAGGGTGTTATTTGGAATAGTAACATTTTAAAAACCAAAAAAGTTAATAATTCTATTTCCACTATGCAAAAAAAAAATGCTTTGAAGTTGTTTTGTTTTACCAAATTAGGGTGTTGGTGAGGATTAGTCATACTTTGATGTTAAAAACGTGCACATAAAAAAATGAGCCACAAAGCACTTAACAGTGTGGGGCTTTCTCTCGCTCTATTGGACGTACCTGGACTTCCAGCAAGATGCTACAAGACGGCTTTCTCTCGTGTGTTCTTGTTCTGGTGCTGGGATCACACCCAGGGCTTCGCAAGCTACATCCCCAGCCCCAAGGCCCTCTGCTCAAATGCTCTTGGTTCACGTTTGTTTTCAAGGATAATGAATCAATAGGAGAAAACTAAATAGGTGGTGGAGGAAAGAGCAATTGGTAAAATTGGGCATCAAATTTATTTTATTTTTAGTGAGAAACAGATGAGAATAATGTAAATCAAAGAATGAGAAAGTAAACTGAAATGTGATGGGGCTCTTTTTTGATTGGTGTGGAACCAGGGATTGAGCCCAGGTTGCTCTATCACTGAGCCAGGTTCTCGATAAGTTTCCAGGCTGAACTCAGACTTGCCATCCTCCTGCCTTAGCCTCCAGAGCAGCTGGGATGACATGGCACCTGGCTCACATGAGGTGCTTTTAAGAGGCTAGAAGGTGAGAAGCTGTATTGAAACAGCAACCAAGACACCCAGAACTACAGACAATACTACCCCACACCCGAACACACATACAGGCACAGTGCACATACACGCATGCATGCAAACATGTGCACACACATATACACATGCACACACACAAGCACACGCAAACACACATGCATGCACACTTGTGACACACATGCACACAAGCACATGCATGTACATAAGCACACATGTGTACACACAAGTATGCACAGAAGCACATGCACATATGCACACACACATACACACATGCACACAAACATGCACACATGTGCACACACAAGAATGCACACAGGTGCACACAGGTGCACACAGGTACACATGCACACACTTTTCCACACTGCTCTCCAGAAGGTGTGCTCTGAAAATCAGCCTAGGCTTTCATAGTCTTCCTATCAAGAGAAACAAGTCCTTTCAGTTTCAATAGTAATGACATTGTTTACTTAAATTCTCCAAGAATGCATTTCTCTTCCAACTTTAAAGTTGAAAGACCCATCCGCAAAGGACACCTCCGGCTACCTTGCACACTCCAGTGTGCTTGCTGCTGGAAGGCAGCACTGGCCCCAGCACAGGCAGCAGTGGGGAGCCTGACTCAGGTTGCAGCTCAACCCCACACTCTCCTCTCTCCTCTGGCGAATGCCAAGCTTGGAGCAGCACTGGGGGCAGGTTCCCAGCCAGCCAGCTTCCCTCATGTCACCTCCCTGTGCTTCCAGGGTCTAGAGCGGGCAGCAAAGCCTCTGGAGTCTTCCCACACCACATTCGGCTTCGAGGGCAAATCTCCACCCTGGAGGGCAAATCTCCACCCTGGAGGGCAAATCTCCACCCTGGAGCTCACTTTGATTGCTTGAACCACACTCCTCATGGCCACGTAGGAAGTGAGCGCTGGAAAGCCTGCTGAAGCCTCTGTGGGTTCTGCTTCACAGAGGACACGGCACAGCAAGGCTGTGCCCCACTGTGCCAAGACACTCATGGGTCCAGAGAAGCTCCATGCGATGGGGCAAACGTGCAGCTGTCCCATCCATCCCTACAGAACCAGGGCACGGAACAGCCCTGCGTCCCTGGGGGTCTGCTGCACCCTCAG